ATAGCCATGCGTATTATGCATTATGAATTGTTAACATAATACATTATAAGTACTGTTCATAACAAATTATAAGAGCTCATAAGTTGTATTTGTCCACTCTAAGTAAAGTGAAGCGTACTGTACTAAAGCCTCCTCCAGTGTTCAGAGTGAGGCTTCAAGTTGAAGTATTTACTGAAGGATTTACTGAAACACTAAAACATTCACAGTAAAGCACATTACAGGCTTCAAATGTCAGAGTTTAAACTAGAGCTGCCATCAGTGTTTTACCCAATGTGGGAAAGGTAATGTACACCACCGTTAGCTTGGTATTTGTCTTTACTTTATGCTAGCCAAGCTGGGACTGACTTCTTTGACCCTGACAGTATAACATGTTATTAACACTATTTATAATGCATTATATTAACAATTCATAATGTATAATAAACATAGCTATGAAGTGTGATTCATTTTTATAAATGTTTATAATCATGTTTATAATGCCGTATAAAGGCATTATAACATGTTATAAATGTGTTTATAGATGCTTACAAAGGTGACATTCATAGAAAGTGTTACCGATGTATGATCTTATTTTCATTTACAAAATGAACAAAAACTTTGTAATTTAACTGGGGTAGCAAACTTTTGCATACGAATAACAAAAAAAAATGTATTTATTTTCTTTAAAAAGCTGCTTATGCTGATGCAGGTTTCTTGTGATAATTCACACGTACTGCTTTACATACAACTCTGGTAGAGAGAATAGGTATCACATTTCAAGCATTTATACAGTAGTTAAGAATGGAGTAGGTTGTAAACTGTGTATTATAATTGCATGTATAGCTGAGTGGTTAAGTCTTTTGCTTGGCATGCCCAGCTCATGGAAGCACATCATTTATCTAATACTAGGCATAGTTCCTAACGTGTAATTCCTACCAACTTTATCATGCTATTTGTGATCATTATGGAAACTCATATTGCAGTGATGATAAAATGCAATTTAGCCATGTTTAAAGGGTAGTTCAGCTCATTTAGCTCAATCCTGACAGCATTCTGTGCATTAATGGGTTGGATTTTGTTCACAAAACATATTTTTGTCCTTGTTGAAGATGTCACGTTAGAAGCCTCAGTCATGAACCTGCAGGACAGTTTGTATCCTTAAGTGTGCATATCCTTTCAGAAAGAGATTTAATACCCTGTGATGCTGATGTTCTCATCGTTTAATATTTGTTTCTCTTATAGTTGCTATGTTCTCTCTGACTTGTGCTTTCAGCCCTTAGGTGATGAACCCGGTATCTTCAAGCAAACTCTGTCAAAACAATTTATTTTCTTTTTTTAAAATGTATACTGAGGTGTATTGCACATAAATAAATAAACAGTATTTCATATCTGCGGGCCTGAGTTGTATTTTTTGATAGGTTCTGCTTTGTGTTTTGGCTGCTTTCTGAGTCCTACTTGTGACTAAGTGTTCTCATTTGGCTCTGAAAGCTGAACTGTAATAGCCGGACAGAGTAAAATAATACGGCCTATTAGCTGCTGTTTAATGTTTAATTCCGAGACTGTGGGTTATTGTGTAGAGTGCCGGTGATGGAGATGCTGTCGGATAGCTCGCTTTCTAAATGTGATGGGGAGTAAATTTAGAAAGTGAGCTATCAGACGGCCGTTTCGGCTCTCGGCAGCACCGCAACAGATGGTGGTGTCAATACAGAAAATGGCCAGAGACTCTGCACAGGCAAACAAATAAACACAAACAGACACACAAACAGGATAATGCAGGAGGACTGGCTGTAGCGAGCTGGCCTTGACTCAGCTCTGTGGGAGGTTGGCTTTTATTTGCACTCGTTGCTTTGACCCCTTGATTGCTGTTTGAGTGTATTTGTGTTTAATACTCGAGTTTAACTGCACAGATAGAACTAAGAGTGAACTGAATCTGCTCTTACAGAGAATCTGTATAAAATGGGCTGGAATATTTGGTCGGAAATGGTTTCTGTCTTTTTAGCTAGTTGACTAACATAACAAGCATACATGCACTTTCACATGATACATACACCAATCAGGCGTAACATTATGACCACCTCCACTTACTATATAGGTGCACTTTGTAGTTCTACAGTTACAGACTGTAGTCCATCTGTTTCTCTGCATACTTTGTTAGCCCCCTTTTACCCTGTTCTTCAGTGGTCAGGACCCCCATGGACCCTCACAGAGCAGGTACTATTTGGGTGATGGATCATTCTCAGCACTGCAATAACACTGACGTGGTAGTGGTGTGTTAGTGTGTGTTGTGCTGGTCTGAGTGGATCAGACACAGCAGTGCTGCTGGAGTTTTTAAACACTGTCCACTCACTGTCCACTCTATTAGACACTCCTACCTTGTCGGTCCACCTTGTAGATGTAAAGTCAGAGACGATAGCTCGTCTGCTGCTGCACAGTTTGTGTTGGTCATCCTCTAGTCCTTCATCAGTGGTCACAGGACGCTGCCCACAGGACGCTTTTGGCTGGGTATTTTTGGTTGGTGGACTATTCTCAGTCCAGCAGTGACACTGAGGTGTTTAAAAACTCCAGCAGCACTGCTGTGTCTGATCCACTCGCACCAGCACAACACATACTAACACACCACCACCACGTCAGTGTTACTGCAGTGCTGAGAATGATCCACCACCCAAATAGTACCTGCTCTGTGAGGGTCCATGGGGGTCCTGGCCACTGAAGAACAGGGTAAAAGGGGGTTAACAAAGTATGCAGAGAAACAGATGGACTACAGTCTGTAACTGTAGAACTACAAAGTGCACCTATATAGTAAGTGGAGCTGATAAAATGGTTAGTCCGTTCATGATGAAATGTTGACAGTGTAAACGGCAGCTGGCACTTTCAGATTATGTAAAAATGAATTATTAAAAAAACAAGTTATTTTTCTGACAGTAACGATGTGCATGTAGATTTAATAGCTTCAATATGTAAAACTTATATATGCAAAAAACAATTTTGTGTTTACATTTTGTGAAAATTTCATGGAGACCTTGCTCGAAAAATGAAGACATACAAGATTCTGCACTATTTCTTGGTCACTGTTCGAATTTAAGTAACTTTGTGACATCGTCCATGTTCAGGCCTTTTAGTCTTATTCCTTCCCTGGACGCTGGTCTTCTGTCGACTCTCGTGTGGATTTGATCCTCTCATCAGAGGCATTTGCATCAACTGGTGGAGTCCAGTTCGAGACCTAAGAGGGACCTACTGTCACAAATATTAAGGAATTGTGAAATTGATGTAAATATTTAACATTCTATTGTACCCTCAAATTATGTTATTATAATGAAAAACACTAATTAGAAAGGAATGCAAAAGGAAAGCGGTTTCACTAGTACTCTGTTTTACTGACCCCACTGTGTGTATGAAATGGTTCTTTTATGATGCTGTTACTCTACAACTTTATAGGTTTCAGCTAATTAGTAGAAGCTGTAAAATATGAAGAAATGTCCATAGCGGGAGTCCAGAATGCTGAACAGAGCTGTAGATGATTCGAAAATGGCCGAGAAAGCTAGTCATAAGATTAACATCCAGAAAGTGAGTGTTTAGAAAGAAGATATAATAAAATTATATCCAGAATGCTTCATATTTGAAAAGTGATGATCAAATCTCAATGCAGATGATGTATAAGGCAGTGGTTATACATTACTACAGTAACTTCTGAAATACACTTATTAGGCATAACATTATGACCACCTCCTTGTTTCTATGCTCATTGTCCATTTTATCAGCTCCACTTACTATATAGGTGCACTTTGTAGTTCTACAGTTACAGACTGTAGTCCATCTGTTTCTCTGATACTTTGTTAGCCCCCTTTTACCCTGTTCTTCAGTGGTCAGGACCCCCATGGACCCTCACAGAGCAGGTACTATTTGGGTGGTGGATCATTCTCAGCACTGCAGTAACACTGACGTGGTGGTGGTGTGTTAGTGTGTGTTGTGGTGGTCTGAGTGGATCAGACACAGCAGTGCAGTTTTTAAACACTGTGTCCACTCACTGTCCACTCTATTAGACACTCCTACCTTGTCAGTCCACCTTGTAGATGTAAAGTCAGAGACGATAGCTCATCTGCTGCTGCACAGTTTGTGTTGGTCATCCTCTAGTCCTTCATCAGTGGTCACAGGACGCTGCCCACAGGACGCTGAGGTGGTCATAATGTTATGCCTGATAGGTGTACCTTCAGTGTCTAGTATAAAATAACATATTGGATAAAATAGCGAATATTATGATTATGATTATGCATTTTATCAATGTGACAAGTGATTCCAAACTTTTGAATGGTACTGTGTAAAGAGTCATATGCAAATGTATGAACAGACCCAGTTAAAAGTTAGAACATCCCCTACAGAGAACTTAAACATGACATTTTCTGTAAATGTTAGTACATCATTTCTGTTTTTTTCCTGAGTTTAACATTTTGAAAAGCATAAATTATAAGATGTGCCATATTTTTTGCCCATGAAGTGTATATATATATATATATATATATATATATATATATATATATATATATATATGTATATATGTATATATATATATATATATATATATATATATATATATGTATATATATATATATATATATATACACATTTTTTTTTCAATTTTCCCCCAATATGTTACATTAAGCAAATAGAGTAATCGTGCATTAAAATGTGCAAAAGTTTGTTCTCTAAAGAGGATGTGTTCACTTATTTTCATGGGTGCCAAAACTTTTGCGTACAACTGTATCTATGTGTGTGTGGGTGTATTTTTTTTTATTTTTTTATTATTATTTATTACATTTTTTTTCCACTCTGGAATTATTTTGTTTCCTGTACTTACACAGAAGAATTTCTTATATTCTGCACAAACACAAAACTCTGGTTGTGAGTCTAAAAATATATTATTAGATGAAACTCAAGATTTAATGTTCACAAGCGTTTAAAAAGTGAATGATTAAAACCAGTTAGACTCTTCAAAAAAAGCCAAGCACTTCCAGGTCACTGTAGTTTATAGTTAGGGACGTCCCACTGGAGCTGCTTGCTCAGCCTGGGCTCTGTGTGCGTCTGTTGTCCCAGCTAAGCCTCACTGCTCTGGGGCTGCGAGGGGAACTCTAGCCCCCTGCTTCAGGCCTGCTCTGCCGGAGTCCCAGAGAAGCAGAGGCAGGTGTGCTGCTGCTCCTTCTCAGACACACCGAGCTCACTCTCCTTCATTACTCTTGCATGGAGCCGAGCGGCTGCGGAGGTGAGGCAGCATGAAGGTGAGCCTTTTAAATCTGCACTGCAGTGGTGAATTTTAATGCCTGACGCTGCTGTTTGTCTGTGGGAATGACTGTTTAGCATGAGAAACATTTTCAGGATGGTGGTTTTATTATTTGTTTTTTGCAGAGCTTGTCTAGTTTTACAGCACTAACGTGAATTCTTTAATACGGTGGGCTGGAAATAGAAACAGGCTCTGAGCAGGAATTTTTTGTGTATCAATAATGCAGATCCATACTGAATTTCAAATGGATGGCCTCTGGTAGTGCTAGTGCAAATCAACTGACCTGATATATTGGAGTCTTGCATATATAACCAGCTTTTTTATCATTATTATATCACTTTCTATGACCAGACAAGGACAAAATGGTGTTTGCTAGCACTGGGTTTCGGACTGGGCCTGTCCCAGTACCACTCCCGCACCCACCATGGAGGATCGATTGTCCATCTGTTTGAATGGCGCTGGTCAGATATCGCTGATGAATGTGAGAGATATTTGGCACCCAATGGTTTTCATGGAGTTCAGGTAAGAAGATCTCTGAAGTTAGGCATCATTTTGTAGGCAGCGTCATGCCTATATTAGGAACTGTGGGTCTAAGCTGGTTTTCCCAATGGGAAAAATGAATTGCGTTATTAAAATCACTGCTATCTCATCCTGTGGTAAACAAAAATACCTCAAAGCCAATATGTTTCATCTTGTGTCATTTTTTACCCCCGAGTGTCACTGGATCCTTTGAATTACAAGGTCATTTAGCAGTCAAAACAGAGCCGGTTTGTGAGGAGCCTGGCCACTTCCTATGTCCTCCGTTATATCAAAAACAGGACTGCTAAACAGCAGAGGGCGCCTGCGAGCGAGTCCTCAACGATTGGGAGTGAATGGAGCTCAACGGCTAAAAACAAAAAGTTAGAATAGTTTCTAATCACTCAGCCAGAACTTTTCTTTCATTTTAGATAGTAGACGGATGAATTTCACTAAAAAGCAACAAAAACATGTTTCCTTTTTACTACAGCAAACAGGGTTTGGGCAGCAGGATGCTAAAATTACTGCTACTGAGTGTTGATTGGTTGGCGAGCGGAGCAGCTCATTGGCTGTTTGCGCTCACTGATGTCATGGAGGCACATGAGGTGCCATTTTAAACTCCTATAACTCGAGTTTAAAAGCTCTTAAAAATATAACAGTGGTGTTAATGTTTTATGCTAATCAGTGTTCAGGTGATGAATGTATACTTTTACATTAAAAATATTTAAGCATTTATGAACTATGATTTTGCTCAAATGCTCCATCTTAACCCTTTCATTTTGGACTCGCCCAGGAGCGCCCTCTAGTGTTTGAGAAACCTGAAAGACATTACAGAGTGGAAATTCTCCTCTCTACAAGTTCTCTAGTCAAAATACAAATAATGCTATATACGTGTTATAAGCTAGCAAGCGCTCCTCTGCACTGTAACTTACACCAGCTACTTAAACTGCTGCCTAAGGTTGTTTTCACACCATACCTGTTTGGTTTTTGTGACATTGTATATTTTTATTTGGTTTGGTTTGTTTTGCAGTGCAACAGCTGAAATGCACCTAATTACACATGTGGGTGTTTGTTGATTGGTCAGGAATTTGAGGATGAAGTCAAGTCCTCTTCTACTTTAACGTTTGCCTATATTAGTGCTCAGTTTCAGAAAAGTTGGGACAGCATGTGAAATGCTAATAAAAACAGAAAGCAGTGATCATCATTAAATTCTGAGTGGCTTGTATTAAATTGAAAACAGTACAAAAACACAATATTTGATGTTTTGTCTTGTGAACTTAATTGACTTTTGTAAATATATGCTAATTCCAAATTTGATGCCTGCAACATGGTCCAAAAAAGTTGGGACAGTCTAAAAGGCAGCCGCTGTTCCTCCAAAATGCGTTCAGCATGAATTTTGCATAACAGATGTACAGGTTACCCACTAATACCCCCATAGCATGGCAGATGTTGGATTTTGCACTTTACACTGGTAACAATTTGGATGCTCCTTTTCTTTTCTGGCCCGGAGAACAAAACGTCCGTTATTTCCATAAACAATCGGAAAGTTTGACAGAGCACAATACACATTTCCACTAAACATCAGTCCATTTCAGATGAGCTTAAGTCCAGAGAAGTCTGGACGCTGTTGACATATGATTTTATAAGTCATATTAAATATAGATTTATGAATTGCTGTCTTTATCTGCACATGCACATGCTTTCCTAACTTTTTTGGAATTGGGTTTGTAGTATGAGATCCAGATCCATCCATCAAATATATTCGTGATAAAATGATAATTATATTGCATGAAAATAGAGACGCTCAGTGTCTGGGTGTGTCACTATCAGAGTAATAAAAATGAAGCTTACTTGATCTCTACGTCTACGATCTGTTGTTTTAATTTTTACGTCAGTTTGAAATTAACCAATCAGGTCGCAGATTTCTGGTCCAAGCTATCACAAATACATTCCGTGGATCATGTGACAATCATTTGATCATCATCAAAATCAATTGTTCATCTGCTTTTATTAGTAGCAGTTTGTCATATGAGTCTCTGTAAAGAGCCAAATGTTAAAACAGGCCGATTTTGCGGACAGTACAGCCCTGATGTGCACTGGTAAAAGCATGCTCTGATGTTTAACTCCCTCATTTGATGCAGACCACAGTAAAAATGCTTTCCCACCAGCATTTTTAGTGAACTGAAGAAGGATTCACTTGGAAACGAAACAAGATCCATGATTTCTGACGGACCGTTTCAGTTGTTTAGTGCACACTTGAGTATGGATGGTGTGTTCACACCTGACAGAACAAACCGATTTAATCTGCACCAAATACAGTAGGTGTGAACGCACCTTAAAACTGTCACAGCCTCTAAACTGCTACATCAGTCAAAGCTCGCTGGTTTGTATGGGGTATTTTGTCCAGGTTGCCAGTCTTACGGTGCAAGTGCACAGCAGTGTTACAAAATAAATACACAACTTTTCCCCTTTACCCCAAATGCAGTCGATCATCTAAGACGTTGGGCCTCTGACGCTTGCTTCTTTAGTTTTAGGACTGGAGCTACGAGGCTAATGTAAAGTACTAAACAAGTAAAGCAAGTAAAGGAAGCTCAAGTACACCAATTAGCACGGTGATGCTTAACTGAACGCCTAAATCATAACTCAGTTGCCTCAAACCAGCATTGTGACTGGAAGGTCGTCGGTTTGATCCCCTGAACCGACAGTACATGACTGAAGTGCCCTTGAGCAATACACCTAACCCCCAACTGCTCCCCTGGCGCTGTGGATAGGGCTGCCCACTGCTCCGGGCAAGTGTGCTCACTGCCCCCTAGTGTGTGTGTTCACTAGTGTGTATGTGGTGTTTCACTGCACGGATGGGTCAAAATGCGGAGGTGAAATTTCCGTTGTGGGACTAATAAGGGTCACTTAACTTCTATACCTTTTTGAGGCACCACAAATGGACAGTTCTTATCAGCATCTACATTTCAAACACTTGGTAATACCCTTTAAGTTTGGGGGATGTTTTCCACAAATGGTCACTGGTGATAGTTCAGAACAGGGAAGCTATTGAAGAGAGACATGACCTCTGGTTCTAGGTTAACCCCATCTCTCTATCTGTCTATCTATCTATCTATGTCTATGTATCTATCTGTCTGTCTGGCTGTCTAGCTAGCTAGTGTTCTCATGTGCCATATTTACAATGTCTTCTGTGTAGCCTCATCATATTATTTACTCAGTTAAACTATGTAATTAGGTTGCCACACAGACTGTTAATGCTCTCCCGCTTTAATGTTGACAGTGTCAGTGTGAGAGAACCAAAAATCGCCCTTCACCTACATTTGGTGTAAAGGGGGGGAAACTGTGTTTGACTTTAGGCCAATATATTCCTTTAATAGTGGACTATTAGTTGCAAGAGTTGCAGTGCATCATCCTGAAAGACATAATTGGTTTCCTCCAACAGATTTCTCCTCCCAGTGAGCATATTGTAGTTTCCAAACCACGCCGGCCGTGGTGGGAGCGCTACCAGCCTGTCAGCTACAATCTGTGCTCCAGATCCGGGACAGAACACGAGCTCCGGGACATGATCAGCAGATGCAACGATGTTGGGGTAGGCTGCAGAAGCTTTCAACATTTTGACAGAATTATTCAGTGCGAGATTTTTTAATTTTTTATTTTCAGCTCTAGAACGTTCCACCGAAGCTTTTGAAGTCCCCACAGCACATCCGTGACCTGTTCTGTGTGCCTGACATGGCACACTGGCAGGCTATGATGTCTGATGATGGACGATGTGGCACTTGTGTCGTTATGGAAATGAACCTACACGCGTTTCCTGCAGGTGAAGATCTACGCCGACGTCGTCATCAATCACATGTGCATGGCGGACGCAGGGGAGGGCAGCCGCTCGACCTGTGGCTCATACTTCAATGCCAGCCGAGAGGAGTTCCCATCTGTGCCCTATTCCACCGCCGACTTCAACGATGATAAATGCACCAGCGGCAGCGGAAATATTGAGAATTACCAAGACATTTATCAGGTATAATTTTGGAAACGATGAAAGATCACTAGGTGGGGAATGCCACTGGACAGAGGTGTAAATATGTCTGCTTCCCTATGCAAAACTGTAGAGCAAGTAGAGGAAACCCTGTGTATTTTGTAGGGCTGCAACTAATCAATTGAGCTATTGAGTATTATTGGATTAACTGTCTAATTAAGCCATGTTGCCCTCTGCGGCTTCCTCTTACATCACACAAATTTCAGTCTGCGACGAATGTTTTTGTCTTTTATGGTGCTCAAATAGAAGCCATATCGCCCCCTACACTTACTGTAGTGTATTACAGTCTGTCAGAATGACTGTGTGGATCATATGAACGTTATAGAGGCTTTTTAAATGAAATGATAGAAGCCATATCGCCCCCTACACTTCCTGTAGTGTATTACAGTCTGTCAGAGTGACTGTGTGGATCATATGAACATTATAGAGGCTTTTTAGATGAAATGATAGAAGCCATATCGTCCCCTACGCTTCCTGTAGTGTATTACAGTCTGTCAGAGTGACTGTGTGGCTCATATGAACATTATAGAGCTTTTTAAATGAAACGGTAGAAGCCATATCGCCCCCTACACTTACTGTAGTGTATTACAGTCTGTCAGAGTGACTGTGTGGATCATATGAACATTATAGAGCTTTTTAAATGAAACAGTAGAAGCCATATCGCCCCCTACACTTCACGTAGTGTATTACAGTCTGTCAGAGTGACTGTGTGGCTCATATGAACATTATAGAGCTTTTTAAATGAAACAGTAGAAGCCATATCGCCCCCTACACTTCACGTAGTGTATTACAGTCTGTCAGAGTGACTGTGTGGATCATATGAACATTATAGAGCTTTTTAAATGAAACAGTAGAAGCCATATCGCCCCCTACACTTCACGTAGTGTATTACAGTCTGTCAGAATGACTGTGTGGATCATATGAACATTATAGAGCTTTTTAAATGAAACAGTAGAAGCCATATCGCCCCCTACACTTCATGTAGTGTATTACAGTCTGTCAGAATGACTGTGTGGATCATATGAACATTATAGAGGCTTTTTAAATGAAATAGTAGAAGCCATATCACCCCCTACACTTCCTGTAGTGTATTACAGTCTGTCAGAGTGACTGTGTGGATCATATGAACATTATAGAGGCTTTTTAAATGAAACGATAGAAGGCATATCGCCCCTACACTTCCTGTAGTGTATTACAGACTGTCAGAGTGACTGTGTGGATCATATGAACATTTTAGAGAATTTATAAAGCACTTTTTAAATGAAACAGTAGAAGTCATAACAGCCCCTACCTTTCCTGTTGAGTATTGTAGTCTGTCTGTTGTACATTATAGAGCGGTACAGAGCACTTAATTAACATCCTTGACAGCTAATCAGCTTTATTAGAATTGCTGCAGCCCTAATATTTGTGCAACAATATACCTGAACTAATCAGCTTATTAACAAGCCCTTCCCGAGTTGAAGTGGGTGTGTTGGGGCAAGCAGACGACTGAAATGTGCAAAGCAAGGCTTCTTCAGAACGAGAATTGGAAACCTCTGTGGTAGAGTGCCTCTTTTAAGGCCTCCATTCACCGATCAGGCATAACATTATGACCACCTTGTTTTCTACGCTCATTGTCCATTTTATCAGCTCCACTTACTATATAGGTGCACTTTGTAGTTCTACAGTTACAGACTGTAGTCCATCTGTTTCTCTGATACTTTGTTAGCCCCCTTTTACCCTGTTCTTCAGTGGTCAGGACCCCCATGGACCCTCACAGAGCAGGTACTATTTGGGTGGTGGATCATTCTCAGCACTGCAGTAACACTGACGTGGTGGTGGTGGTGTGTTAGTGTGTGTTGTGCTGGTGCGAGTGGATCAGACATAGCAGTGCTGCTGGAGTTTTTAAACACCTCAGTGTCACTGCTGGACTGAGAATCGTCCACCAACCACAAATATCCAGCCAACAGCGTCCTGTGGGCAGCGTCCTGTGACCACTGATGAAGGACTAGAGGATGACCAACACAAACTGTGCAGCAGCAGATGAGCTATCGTCTCTGACTTTACATCTACAAGGTGGACTGACAAGGTAGGAGTGTCTAATAGAGTGGACAGTGAGTGGACACAGTGTCTGATCCTGTGCTCTGTGAGGGTCCATGGGGGTCCTGACCACTGAAGAACAGGGTAAAAGGGGGCTAACAAAGTATCAGAGAAACAGATGGACTACAGTCTGTAACTGTAGAACTACAAAGTGCACCTATATAGTAAGTGGAGCTGATAAAATGGACAATGAGCATAGAAACAAGGAGGTGGTCATAATGTTACGCCTGATCTGTGTATATTTTTTCTTTAACTAAAATGTTTCCTTCAGGTGCGCAACTGCCGTCTACTCGGCCTCCTTGATTTGGCCCAGGATAGGGAACAAGTCCGTGGGAAAATTGTGGACTACTTGAACACTCTGGTGGACATGGGTGTGGCCGGCTTTCGAGTGGATGCTTGTAAACACATGTGGCCACATGACCTGAAGGTCATATATGGAAGGCTCCACAACCTCAACCCGAAGTGGTTCCCCAAAGGCTCCAGACCGCTCATTTACCAAGAAGTAAGGTTCAGTTATTCCACAGAGCGCGCATGAGCACACTGTAATCCATGTGTTCTCACCCTTCAATTTTAATCAAGCTGTACGAGAATGGTCACTTAGAGAGTTCCAAAACTGCGCCTCTTAAAGAAATAATCAAAAGAAACAAATCTGATTTACACAGTTTCCCCACTTGCCCCAAATGTAGACAATCAACATGTTTGATGCCCAAGGTTTGCTCCCTTAGTTTTGCACTGGAGCTACAAGGCTAATGTAGCTAACAAGTAATGGAAACTTATATTCCACCAATTAGCATTGTACAAGCTACAGGCCTTGATAATCACACACTTGACTCAAATCATCTTGAGGTAGTAAGTGATCTCATATAGACTTGCTTGTGTGGTTATGTCCTTTCCAAGGTCATTGATCTGGGGGATGAGCCCATTAAAGCTAGTGAATACTACCAACTTGGCCGTGTTACCGAATTCAAGTATGGCGCTATGCTGGGTTCTGTCTTTCGCAAATGGAATGGATACAAGCTATCTGACCTCAGGTAAGTCACACCTCAAGGACAACAAAACTACACCTCGGGTAACTGTACATGAGCACCCAATGGGCCTGGCTATTCACAACGTTATTTCTCAGATATTTTTAGGGCTCAGGTTGGGTTCATTTTTCACATTTAAGTTTCTTATAGTCCACCTCCTACGTTTAACTCATTTTAGCCCGTATTTACTCAGCTTTATTCTGATAGAATTTTGTGGGGTACAGTTGAGTACAGAGATATTTTTGTTGGGCTGCAAATGAGTTCTGACAGGGTTTTGTTGGGCTACAGTCAGGTTCAAACAGAATTTTGTTGGACTACAAATGAGTTCTGACAGAATTTTTGTGGACTACAGTTGAGTTCAGACATAATTTTCTTGGACTACAGTCAAATTTAGATAGAATTTTTTTGGACAACAGTCGAATTCAGACGGAATTTTGTAGGACTACGGTAGAATTCAGACAGAATTTTGTAGGACTACGGTCAAATTCAGACAGAATTTTGTAGGACTACGGTAGAATTCAGACAGAATTTTGTAGGACTACGGTCAAATTCAGACAGAATTTTATTGGAGTATGGTGGAATTCAGACAGAATTTTGTGGGACTACGGTTGAATTCAGACAAAATTTTGTAGGACTTTGTTCGAATTCAGACAGAATTTTGTAGGACTACGGTAGAATTCAGACAGAATTTTGTTGGACTACGGTCGAATTCAGACAGAATTTTGTAGGACTACGGTCAAATTCAGACAGAATTTTATTGGAGTATGGTGGAATTCAGACAGAATTTTGTGGGACTACGGTTGAATTCAGACAGAATTTTGTTGGACTACGGTCGAATTCAGACAGAATTTTGTTGGACCACGGTCAAATTCAGACAGAATTTTATTGGAGTATGGTGGAATTCAGACAGAATTTTGTGGGACTACGGTTGAATTCAGACAGAATTTTGTTGGACTACGGTTGAATTCAGACAGAATTTTGTTGGACTACGGTTGAATTCAGACAGAATTTTGTAGGACTATGGTCGAATTCAGACAGAATTTTGTGGGACTACGTTCGAATTCAGACAGAATTTTGTAGGACTACGTTCGAATTCAGACAGAATTTTGTAGGACTACGGTAGAATTCAGACAGAATTTTGTAGGACTACGTTCGAATTCAGACAGAATTTTGTAGGACTACGTTCGAATTCAGACAGAATTTTGTTGGACTATGGTCAAATTCAGACAGAATTTTATTGGAGTATGGTGGAATTCAGACAGAATTTTGTGGGACTACGGTTGAATTCAGACAGAATTTTGTAGGACTACGGTCAAATTCAGACAGAATTTTGTAGGACTACGGTCGAATTCAGACAGAATTTTGTAGGACTACGGTAGAATTTAGACAGAATTTTGTAGGACTACGGTCAAATTCAGACAGAATTTTGTTGGGCTGTGGCCGGGTTGAGACAGGACTTTGTTGGGCTGCAGTTGAGACAGAATTTTGCTGGGCTACATTATGGTTCAGACAGAATGCAATCTGATTCGGACAGAATTTTGTCAGACTATTGTTGGATTTTTATTTTTTTTTTATTTCGTTGGGCTGCACTTGGTTTTGGAAAAAAATATTAGTGGCCTTAAGTCAGTTTCAGGCAGAATTGTGTTGGGTATCGTTAGGTTTCGGCAAATTTTCTTGGGTTAATTTCGAGTTTAGACAGAATTTTATCATGCTGTGTTTGGGTTCAAATTTTGTTGAGTGATTCAGAAATTTCAGGCTGGACACAAGCTGTACTGTACATTCTGCAACTTAACTATTTGTCCTTATCTGCTCTGTGCTTTCGTGAGATGTTTTCTTATGTTTGGACAGTCTGAAGTCCTGTGCTTTTCAGGTCCTGGGGCGAAGGATGGGGATTGATGCCTTCTGACAAAGCCCTGGTGTTTGTAGATAACCATGACAACCAGAGAGGTCATGGAGCAGGTGGGGCATCCATCCTCACCTTCTGGGAACCCAGGTAGGAGCTGTCCTCTCTGTGAACACGCCACATCTACTGCTACAGCTAGAAAAAAGCTGAGTCCTCTCACTTGAATGAATAATGACTGCACCATTCCTTCTGCTCTTCAGGCTGTACAAAATGGCTGTGGCGTTCATGCTAGCCCATCCCTATGGCATGGCCAGAGTGATGTCAAGCTACCGTTGGGATCGGCACATTGTGAAAGGAAAAGTAGGAGTCTGGTGGACAGTTTCACAGACTTGCCTTAATCAGATTCTTCAGTCAAATCTAATATTCTGACTAAAACTCATTATATTTGATGATAAACAATTATAACATTATAAAATTGACACATTTATTGGATTGCAGACACTTTTTTCAAGAAGAGACCTTTAATTTTTTTTAAATACATGTGTTTAATACGAAATAGACATTTGTTTTCAGAAATGTTCACCATAGCTACAGTAATCAGCACTGAACGATTAACTATATGTCCAAAACTCAATTTTGAATGTATGTCAGAGGGAATCTTATCATTCTAAGCCCACAATCTATGAGTAGTGAAACACAGTGGAGGCAGGAGAGGTAGTTTGCAGTCAAAGGTTAGCCTGTGGAAGCAGTTCTTCTGTTAAACATGAATCCAGTCAGACATCATTAACCTGGAAATGCTTTGTAAGGGATTAAACCAACTCCACTATAACTGAAGCATGTATACGACTACACTGAAATGCCTATAAATACTACTGCAGTGCATAACCACCTCAAAATCAAACGCACCCACTGCTACTAGCAAGATGGATCACACTGGACACAAGCAGGCTAATTGAGGTTTCACAACACTCGATTTAAAAAAAAAAGCCAGTTTTGAAACACGTTTAATTTTTTCTCTCTCTATTGTAAACATGACCAGCCAGCTGCTGTTTTGACTGGTTGACTGGTAAACATGAATAGTCTAACCTCTCGTGTATCATGACAGTGGGTTGTTCTACTCCCTGTTTAAACCAGTGTCTGTGTGTGTCAGGATGAGAATGATTGGGTCGGACCCCCTAGTTATCCTGATGGCACCACTAAGCCAGTTCCGATCACTCCTGATGGCGGCTGTGGAGACGGCTGGGTCTGTGAACACCGCTGGCCTCAGATCAGGTCACAGATGTTTGTTAATTTATTCTTTAACACTTTTCTCAGCTAAAATTTGCAATTACTTGTCATATTCACTCATTCACTCACTCACTCACTCACTCACTCACTCACTCATCTAAGCTGCTTATCCTCCTGGGTCGCAGGGGTTGCTGGAGTCTATCCCAGCACTCATTGGGCAGAAAGCAGGAAACACACTGGACAGGTCACTTTTTATACTAATCATTCTTATTTTATTCAGTAATTATAAACTTATAAAGTGTCAATATTTTGCGTTTTGGTGGAAAACAAGACGTAAATAATATACCGTAATTATCTGTTTATATTAATTTCTTGTCGAGTTTCCTGCATCAATTTGTAATTTTTGAAATACATGACATTCAGGATGTTAATTTGATTGGAACTTTATTCTGGATATTCATTTTATTAGAACTTGGCCATGTTGATTATTCTGACACAACTAACTTCATCTTTATTCACAGCTTCATATTAATTAGTTAAAGCCTGAGAAGATGCAGAGCAGTAGCATCATATTAGAATTATTACATACATTTATCTAAAACGTAATTGGCTTTATGTTATTGAAAACCAGCGTTGTTATTGATTCCAGACTTAATCCACTTAAATGGATAAATGTTATGAGATTTCCAGAATACAGTTCTAACTCAGAAGAACCTAATTGTGTTCTGTTGATCTTTTTATAGGAACATGGTCGCCTTCCGCAACATAGTGAGCGGGCAGCCTTTATGTAATTGGTGGGACAATGGAAGCAACCAGATTGCATTTGGACGAGGTGATCGTGGCTTCATAGTCATCAATAATGATGATTGGTAAGGCTATAAATCCATTGGTCTTAGTTCATCTCTATTGATCAGTCCGGTTACCTGAGAAAATCTCGTTTTGACAGACTAGTTTTTTGTTTGATTTGTATTCCTTTAAAAATGTTCTCCACCAGCCCAGCTTCATTAACAATGATCACCTTTGAAAACATTGGCGATTCCTTCTGCTGAAATTTGAATTATCTTATTTTTCAATGAAGTTAGAAAAGCCTCTGTAATGGTTTATCATAAATCAGCTATGTATTAATCATTTGTGTATATCTTAAACACTCAGCTTCATGTTCATCAAAAGGGAAAATGAAATTACTGCAAACTGACAGAAAAACATGATAATTTACATACATTAAACAAACATTAAAAACATTTTGAAAAACCTAGGTGTCCCAAAACTTTTGGCAGGCAGTGTAGGACGTTAGGTTTCTTCTACAGTATTCTTTGACTCAGTCAGCTATAATAGCATTCTCTCAGTTTTTTAGATGCCACCCTAAATACTGGTCTGACCGCTGGAACGTACTGTGACGTCATCTCTGGCCAGAAGATGGGTGACCGATGTACTGGAAAGCAGGTCACTGTGGACAGCAGAGGGAGAGCGCACTTCAGAATCAGCAACATGGATCAGGATCCTTTTATTGCTATTCATAGAAACTCCAGACTGTGAACTGGTATTTAAACTGAATTATTTCTGTACACATAAACTCCAAGCTGTGATCTGGTAATAAAACTAAATTATTCATATTCACAAATAATTAAAACTCTAATCTGGTAATAAAAATGAACTATTTCTGTTCACACAAAAGTCAAACTATAGCCTGGTAATGAAACTGAATTATTTCTATTCACACAAAGTCTAAACTGTGAACTGGTAATGGAACTGAATTATTTCTATTCATACAAAGTCTAAACTGTGATCTGGCTGGTAATAAAACTGAATTCTTTCTATTCACACACCCTCAAAACTGTGATCTGGTAATTAAAATAAATGATTTCTATTCACACACATCCAGAACTGTAACCTGGTAATGAAACTGAATTATTTCTATTTACATCAAACTCCAAACTGTGATATGATAATTAAAAAAATCTTAAAAATTAAATGTATTTAGCTGTAGTTTTCCTTGTTGCTGACAATATATGTGCCAGATTTCATTTTCATTAGGCTAAATCTGAATTTTAGAATTTTTTAGAAGATCAGAGAAAAAAGACTTCATAACGTTGTTCTGTAAAGGGATTTAATTCTTAGACATGATATTAAAATGAGTTCAACTGAACAGACGTTCTCACTGCAGGTTTGTAATTATTTATATTTTTTAATTGCTTGAAGAAATAAGTAGTGTTTATAATTAATATATATTATAATAATATTTGTGATTGGCTGAGAGGTGTCAGTCATGTTGCAAATGGTCAATTGTGTTTGAGCTTGTAAATGTTGCATGCCCACCGCGTAGCTTCAGTGTGGTATTTATGAGTGGACACAGTGTGAATTCCATACCTCATGAAGTCATCATGAAATAATTTCATTTTATCTTTGCAGATATGAAGACATGCATTATATATGATTCTGTAAATGCACTGCAGAATTATAATGTATGAGTGTCATTTTAGACATGCACTGATTTCCTGTACATGTTTTTGTTGAACTGCTGTGCTTTTAGAGAGAGGAAACCACTGAGATTATTGTAGCTATCAAAAGTTGTACGAAGTCCCATTAAAGAAATCCTCCGTATGTAATCACTTTTCCCTCCAGAGTAAATGTGTCAATTCGAAGGTGTTCTGATTCATTATGGAGCGACTGATGGCTTCGCCATACATATTTCATGCATACAAATCCTGCAAGTTTCATGAAGTTGTCCAAATGAGTAACATTTAGAGCTGAAGTGAAGTCATTCGTTTGAATAATTGATGTTTAATGTCTTTGATAAGAGTTAGTGAGAAGGTCATGGTTTCACTCCAACCTGAGAGGCTCGGGGTAATGAGCTTTCCCTGCCGCCCGAACGTGCTCACACTGGATAAACACTTCATCAGACATGTTGCTCTTCCTTCTTATGAGGATGTGTGTAGCATGAGCTGTTTACTGAATCGCCACGGCGACGGCTGGACTTCTCAATGAGCCCGGGTGTCCACCTCTTAGCCGAGAAGCTAAATGCATAATATGCTTCCTTATAGAACTCTGGAACCAGTGCTTTGATTAGTAATGTAAAGCTAATTGGGGCGACTGAGAAACCTGTTCTAATAAAATTAACATCCAGAATGAGGCGCTAATAAATTAATATTCACAATGAAGTTCTGATAAAATTAACATCCAGAATGAAGCTTTAATAAATTTCTATTCAGAATGCAGCTGAAGTAAAATTAATATCTAGAATGAAGTTCTAATGAAATGAAAATTCAGGATAAAGTTCTAATGAAATTAATATCCAGAATGAAATTCTAACAAAATTAATATCCAGAATGAAGTTCTAACAAAATTAATATCTAGAATGAAGTTCTGATCAAATTAATATCCAGAATGAAATTCTGATCAAATTAAGATTCAGAATGAAATTCTAACAAAATTAATATCCAGAATGAAGTTTTGATAAAATTAATATCCAGAATGAAGTTCTGATCAAATTAAGATCCAGAATGAAGTTCTAATAAATTAATATCTGAAGTTTTAGTAAAATTAATCCAGAATGAAGTTCTGAAGTTCTGAATCCAGAATGAAGTTCTGATCAAATTAATATCCAGAATGAAGTTCTGATCAAGTTAAGATCCAGAATGAAATTCTAATAAAATTAATATCCAGAATGAAGTTCTGATCAAATTAACATCCAGAATGAAGTTCTGATCAAATTAAGATCCAGAATGAAGTTCTGATCAAATTAAGATCCAGAATGAAGTTCTAACAAAATTAATATCCAGAATGAAGTTCTGATCAAATTAACATCCAGAATAAAGTTCTAATAAAATTAATATCCAGAATGAAGTTCTAATAAAATTAATATCCAGAATGAAGTTCTAACAAAATTATTATCCAGAATGAAGTTCTGATCAAATTAACATCCAGAATGAAATTCTAATAAAATTAATATCCAGAATGAAGTTCTAATAAAATTAATATCCAGAATGAAGTTCTAACAAAATTAATATCCAGAATGAAGTTCTGATCAAATTAACATCCAGAATGAAATTCTAATAAAATTAATATCCAGAATGAAGTTCTAACAAAATTTATATCTGAATGACATTCTAATATTATTAGTATCTGGATTTGTGGCACAATTGTAATTTGTTTTATTTTTGTATTTATTTATATTTTATTTTATTTTTCTGTTTTATTTTCAGTTAATAAACCTGTGACCTTTTCAGTTTTTCAGTAAGGAAGTCATGTATGTCCGTGGCAGTGTCTGCCTTATTACACTCGAATAAAAATGTACCAAAGGCAGTGGTTCTCGGCTTGGATGTAGAGTTCCAGGAAAAAGGTTCTTTATATGATGTGGAGGTTCTTCACACTTTAAAAAGGTTCTTCGTACTCACATCTCATTCAAGGAACCCTCCACTGAAAGGTTCTTTCAGTTCTTCTATCACATTGTTCCTATCACAAAGAACCCTTGTTGGCCCCCCTATTTATTACAGAATATCTATGCATGAGGCCCTAAAAAGATTCAGTTCTGGCGTTATGGAAAATATCAGATATGTATCAGATGTGGACAAAAGACTGCTGTGCTGCATTTTCCTCGGCCCGAAGCGCCGAAGCACCGTTTACCGTGCAGATTTACTTTAGAGGAGGCAAGATGGAGGACGGCCAGCCGGCTCTTCATCTCATTAGTCTTTGTGCGCTGTCAGAAACTCCAGCTAAATCTCGGCCCTATCTTATCTCCGGTAACCTTGCTTATTCCCTACAGTGGTATTTGTGTAGCCGTAAAGAATTTATGACTGCAGAAAACCGTCGGAGGCAATCTAAGATAAATATATAAATCCTGCGCTTGGATCTCTCAGGGCCGCTGGGCTGCACGCTGATCAGAATGTGTAAAAACAGCTCCCACCGAGCTGCTTTGCTGCTAATACGCCTTTCTTCCTCTGCTGCATCCCAAACAGCCGCAACAGCGCTGAGCTTCTGCCTGTAGTGCTGCAATGGCCTTCGCCTTTGAAACTGCAGGGGGGCGCTGGAGCATCAGAGGGTTCAGAGTGTGTGCATACTTTAGATTTTACACTAGGCCAAGTGTCTGTGGGCTAGTAGTGAGTGCGATCTCTGCGGCGTGATGCACAATGGAGCTGGAATTCAAAGAGTTTCTCACAATACAGTGCATAGAACTGCGCATATGTTCCAAAAGTGGAGTTCAAAAAATGATTAAAAGCCACAGAGAAACTGGGGCTCCTAACAACCACCTGGAAGACCTGGTAGACCCCAAAACTGCCCCCATCAGATAAACAGCACTTAAAGCTTTCATCTCTGAGAGAGAGGAGAAAATCAAGCTGCTTCAGATCTGAAAACATCCACAGGTGTTTCTGTCCATCCTTCCACTGTGAGAAGACGACTCAGCGCTGTGGGTCTGAAAGGATGTGTAGCTGTCAAGAAGAACCTCACTGAGAAAAGGAGACGGACACATCAAACAAAGAAGCTGAACGATGGACTGACCACCCCAGAGTCCAGACCTCAACACCACTGAATGTGTTTGATTACTTCAGAAAATGATCAACCAGCTTCTAAGACTGAACTTTGGAGGTGTGGAAATGAAATATTGTTTCTGAATATTCCAGTGATGTCACGGTGCTTTATTCTGACTCTTAGTAAAGATGGATCTTCAAGGGTTCTTAAGTAAAGAAAATGGTTCTATACAGAACCATGAACACTCAAAGAACTCTTTGCATGATTAAAGGATCCTTTGCACTGTGAAAGTGTTCTTCAGACTGATGGAGAATGTGCTGTAAATGGTTTTAAATAGAACCTTTTTAAAAATGGTTCTGTGTAGCACCCAGAAGGGTTCTTCTATCGTTATGGTGTCAAGCTTATAACAATAGAAGAACCCTTTTGGGTGCTATATAGAACCCTTTTCAAAAAGGTTCTATATAAAACCATCTGCAGCACATTCATGCAGATTTTCCATCAGTCCAAACAATGATTTCATGATGCAAAGAACCCTTTAATCATGCAAAGGGCGCTTTGAGTGTCCATGGTTCTATATAGAACAATTTTCTTTACTTAAGAGCCCTTAAAGCATCTTTTTTTAAGAGTGCTGTAGGGGGTGGTCAGTGCTGTAGGGGGTGGTCAGTGCTGTAGGGGGTGTTCAGCTCCTCTCCAGTATTTATTTTAGTTACAGGATCAGTATTTTACACAGGAATATCAGTAAAACCAAGAAAAGATGTAAACATTACACTCTTCATGAAAAAAACTCCTCTATCAAGCTTGTGTTCCTAATATTCTCTGGAATGGTATTCCAAACTTTAGGAAGTGCTAAGAGAAGGATCTTCCACCAACTGAGCTGTGAGAGATCCTAGGAGTTTTCAGTAAGCCTGTCTCAGCTGACTGAAGTGATCTAAATGGGTTTAGACCAGTCAGTAATATTTGCTGGAGCGAAGCTTTTAAGGCCAATGCTCTGATAAAATTGGAGACGTTTAGCCAAATCATTTAGTGTTAATAACCAGGTCACTGTCAGTTATCTCTTGGAAAAAAAATGCAGTCTTTGTGTTAATTGGTGTTGCTTCTACACTTTTGGCCTTTAGGGTACACTGTCCGGTCATATCAAAGCCTTATTATTAATATTTATTTTTTTCTTCCTTTTTTACACCATGTGAAATGATCGGTTCCCCTTGACGTTGTTTGAAAATAACACCATGAATGAACCCATAGAAAATGCTGTATTGACATACAGTACTGTGCAAAGGTTTCAGGCATCTGAGAAAATAAAAAGCCATTTATCTGGGCAGTAAGTGTATGAGATATTATATTATCATTATTATATATTATATTATCCAAAAAAAACACTAATATTAGAATAAATACAAATAACATTAATAGAAAAAGTGGTGATTTAAGCATGTCAGTGTGTTAGTTTAAGCATTTCCAAACAACATCTCGAAGAAGCCCATTTATTGCCTGTAGTTATAATTCAAGACCTGTTTTGGTTGATCAAAACTATGTGAGGGCTGGCAACATCTGGAACCACATCTGTTCTCCTAACCAGCTTATATCAGCTATGTGTTTGAAAACAAGAGATCATTGTTACTTCTTACTGTTTTATGTTTATTTGCATTTATTCGGATGATAAATGGTCTTTTTACAGGCAATTAAAGCACTTATTGTCCAAATAAGTAGTTTGAAGCAATTTGCTTAGGTGCCCAGAACTTAAGGATGTGTTTTGCTATCTATAAAGTTATCATTTTGAAGGAAAAAACGTGTTGCTATAGCAACGACAGTATCATCGCTAACACGCAAAAAACCTTGTATCTCCATTTTTGTCATTTTAATAATTTTAACTTTTTTATATACATTATGTCAACTTTTCAGAATAAGTGGACCAACAGAAATGGTCTAAAATTACTTAGAAATAAATCTTGTTACATCAACTTCTATCATAATTTAAGAATATTTGTTCCTTCTCCTGTAAAGTTACCAGTTTGGAGATTTAGTGAGGGTTTAGTGATGATATACCATTTAAAAAGAACAGCGTTCAAATGGATTAGTAACGTTTACATGTATGTCTGTAATCAAGCATCTTTTTTTTAGACGTACTAATTGAAGAACTGGTTAA